GCCAATGGAGAGGCCAGGAAGCAGAGGAGGCTGAAGATGCCCTGCACCTGTCAAAGGGAGACAGTATATAGTGCAAGAATAAATGCACAAGGCAGACAGAGGTACCCAAGGCCCAGCATTCAGCAGAGACTCCAGGAACAAAACCATGCCATCACGGGGCAGATGAAAGGTGCACAAGAGACATCTACAGAGGGGAAATATAGAGAGAGTGGGAACAAGCCCTGAAGGAGGCAAATGGGCAGAGAGAGGGAGATGGAAAGGGGCTGGCAGGAAACTGTGAAACACATAGTGACTAGTCACGTGGCAAGGCAGAATTGGGGAACTGAAGGGAGGCGCATGCTGCCCCCCAGTGAACCCAGCCACTCTCATCTTGCCAATCTCAAAGGCCCCATCTGTGCTTGAGATTCAGCAGCCAGTGCAGCTGCTGCTGTGCCAGCCCTACAGGGAGACAAGGGCACACTGAGCTGATTGGGTTTGCTCCAAGCCTTGGGTGCAAGCCCCTGGTTGCTCCTGTCTACAGGCTCAGGTTAGCAGCAGCAAAAGGACCCCTGCTTGCTCATCACCGGTGACTGATTCAGGTGCATTCCCAAGTGCAGTCAAGGCAGGAGAGAGAGTACTGAGATGGAGCCAGGCATAAGTTCCCTAGGGAGAAGGGACGAGAGAAATGATGCCATCATGAAGTGAGGGCTGGGGATGGAGCACCTGCTGTGGATCCACTTCAGAGTCCAACATAGAGCAGACAAAGGGAAACTGCTGAGGGGTGCTTCTAAAAATTGCATGTCCAGAGGCTGATTGAGAAGCAGCAGAAAACAGCTGCAGTAACACCCTGGCAATAGGAGAGCTAGGAGGCAGGACATGTGTCCAGGTGTCCTGGTAGTTGGAGGATGCAGGAGGGGGTGATAACAATCATAGTAGCTGCATGCTGCTGGTAACATCTCTCATCCTGACAGTGCTAAATGCCTCCTGGGCATCTAGGGCTCATCATCTGTGGCTGAAGCCTGGGCAAGGTATGTAGCTGGGCCTCTGCTCCCAGGACACCTGGAAAGTTTGGATTTGGACTCTGGAGAATCAGCAGGGATCCCCTCAGGGCACACTGCCACAAGATGGCAGGCGATGGACACTTCCAACATGCATGCTTGGATCCTTAGGGATAAACAGCACTAGCATCCCAGGAATGCTGGAGGTGGTTCATAGATTCATAGATTTATAGATGTTAGGGCTGGAAGGGACCTTGAAGATCATGAAGTCCAGCCCCCTGCCCCAGGGGCAGGAAGTCAGCTCGGGTCAGGGACCCCAGCAAGATAAACATCCAAATGTTTCTTGAATGAGCCCAGAGTAGGTGTCTACACCACGTCTGGATGGAGTCTATTCCAGGCCTTGGGGGCTTGGACAGTAAAGACATTTTTCCTTATGTCCAGCCTAAAATGGTCTTGGAGGAGTTTATGACCATTGGTCTTTGTTATCCCTCAGGGTGCTCTGATGAACAAATGTTCCCCCAGATCCTGATGCACACCCCTGATGTACTTATAGGCAGCCACCAGGTCCCCCCTGAGTCTGTGCTTTTCCAGGCTGAAGAGTCCCATAGCTCTCAGCCTCTCTTCATCAGGCCTATTCTCCTGCCCTCTGATCATGCACATGGCTCTCCTCTGGACTCTCTCAAGCTTCTCAACATCCTTCTTGAATTGTGGAGCCCAGAATTGGATGCAGTACTCCAGCTGCGTCATCAAGGCCGAGTACAGCGGGAGGATGACTTCCTGAGATTTACTTGAGAAGTATCTATGGATGCAAGCTGGAGTCTGGTTTGCTTTACCAGCTACGACATTGTACTGGTGGCTCATGTTCATCTTGTGGTCAATCATGACCCCCAAGTCTCTTTTAGCCGTGGTGCTAGCGAGCATAGCACTGCTGAGCCTATAAGCATGCTGAGGGTTTAACAGCTCAACCACTGCTAGGGAGAACCATGGACCTCCCGGCTACCTGCTCTGGGAAGTCCAGATTCCCTGGGCCTTATCGAGTGGGAGCATGGGGTCCTGCAGGGGTAAAGCAGCAGCAGGGCCGGGCAGCACAGAACGTGGGCAGAAGCAGCATTTTCCTCCCCACCCTCCCCCTCACCGGTGGTATCTGTTGGATTCTCCCAGCCCCTTGCTTCCTCTTGTGCCTTTTTTTTCCAGTGGCTTGTTGACAATTCAGACATTAATCTCCCCCATTCTGGTGTCCTGGTCAGGTTCATTTTTATCGCGGTTCCGGTTGTGTTGGGTCAGGCTTTCCGGAACCCTGGAGGGCCCCTGCACGCCCGGTGGCAGTGACATCGCAAGGCCCTGCACAGGCTCCTGGCAGGCGCCTCGCAGCCTCTGCTGCCACCAGCAGCCTCTCTTGGCCCCCCGCCCTCCCCCAGCCAGGCCTGGGCTCCTGACCACATCAGGATACAGCACAGTGCATGAATTCCGGCCTCACTTATTTCAGAGCTCTGGTCAACCGCAAGCGCAGTGTGTTTCACAAACACATCACAACCGTGTGGGGAGGGCTGGGGCCTGGGCACTAGTGCTTAACGGATGCTAACTCCTCACTGGAGCCCAACAAACAAGCTCTCCTGTCCAACCAAACTGACCCCTGCAGAAGGACTCCCAGCACTGCTGGGAGGCTGCTGCCAGGACTGAAATGACAGATGTGAGGCATGTTGAACTACGCCAGGCCTCAGCTTGAGTTGCAACACGTGGGATCCCAGGTGACCTGCGTGCTGCATGGCCCCTGGGCACAGAGGGATCAGCTCTGCCACCATCCTCCAGCTCAGACAGGTCAACATTGAAATCTTGGTAATGACTGGTGTCATTTGGACAAAGCCCAGCTGGCTTCAGACCAGCAGCAATCTAGCTGCAGCTTTGGAGCTCAGTGTTGATTAACCGGCCACATATTTCCCCTGCTGCTTAGGGGAGTTTGCTGTTCATGCTCAGCTCTGTCTTGCCAAGGCTAGCCAGCTACCAGCACCCAAACTAGCTAGTTCAAAGCCAGCTCAGGCATGCCTACACTGCACTGCAGTCACCGTGTAGACACACCCTTCAAGGCCTCTTCTACCCATGCAAGTGGACTTGTTCAACCTCACATGTAACTGGCACCTAAGCAGTTAAACCTCTACAGCTGTATGTGGAGGCTTTTCCATTGGTTTAACCAGGCTTATGACACTCAAGTCCTTCCTTAAGTTTACAGGCACAGACTTACTCGAGACAACTGCTTTCAAACAGATATAAAAGAGCCTCTCTTCCCCCCACATCTGCACAAGCTTAACTAAAATGATTTAACTAAACCCAGTGAAGCTTGTGTGTGAGCCAGCCCCCACCTGTAAGCTGTTTGCTGCATGCAGTCTTGCCTGATAGACAGGGAAAGGAATTGAGCCAGTTAGGGAAATGGTTCCCTTTATAGTATCCTGACTCACCAGATGTTTGCACCCTCAGCAGCCTGTTACTACAGCATTGCTGACTCTGTACCTGGGATCATCTCCCCACACCTGCCACTGTAGTTTTGTCACAATTGGCAGTACTGGCTGGGACCACCTCTCTTTTGCAGTACTTTAGTTACAGGCCAGAGACAGTCTATGCAGATGGCATTGTGCATGGGGTGAGAGCACCATCCAGTGGCCTGTTATACATGTTCATCCTCCTGACTATCCCTGCAAACTTGGCAACCACTCACCTTCTATACCATGACAAGCCTGGTGAAGCCTGTACAGGGACTGTGATGTTGGCCTCCCAGGAAGAAGATGCATTGACAGGGCCGAGCCTCTTGGGGTAGCAGCACAATGAGGTGGAAGCTTCCCCCAGGAACGGCAAAACCAAGCACACGGCGCTAGTGCCCCATGGATGAGGCCAGGGATGCTAGAAGCATCTCTTGGGTGCCAGGCACCAAAGGTAGTGAGAGAGTGTGGGAGTGCTTCAGGCTGCACAGTGGCCATGTTTCCTTCTCCATGTGGCCAAGTAGAACAGGACGGGTTGGAGACTGGGGAGGAAGGAAGAGTTTGGAAGAAGAAAACAGCTGCTGAACTTGACCCATGGACGGATTATGGTTGAGGGACCTAAACACTCTTTCTAGGGCAGCTCTACCACCCAGTTATTTGTATGTAGCTGTGACAGGGCCTTGGCAGTCACTTGTGGTGCAGTTATGCTGTTTGGGGTCACCATGGCCACTGGTCTGAGCCCTGATTTATAATTAAGCAGAGTCACTGGGGGTGGGGGGAGCAGGAGGGGAGTAAACAGGAGGGGAGGGCATCACAGTCTGCTCAAAGGACTGTGCCAGACCAAACAGGCTCTGCCTACAGCTTCCCTTTGGGCATCGCAAGCAAAACCCCAGCCTCCCTCCGAATCTGACGTTTCAGTTGGGCTCCCCCTGCTCACAATGCCATAGCTAGGGAGAAAGACTCCACAGCGGGAGCCCTGCCGGCGGCCCAGTGGGTGAAGTAAAGCAGATTCTCCCTTCCAGCCCTGCAGCTCTGTCTGCCCCCGCATGGATAGGAGCTTGTTAGTGCCAAACTGCAGAGTCAGCAGATTATGTGTTAGGGTTGACTGAGGCTGAACAGTGGACACATTTCCACTCTAGCGAGGCTCAGGACTCCTTTGTGCAGGGATCTGTACAGATGCAGTGCAAGGCTCCCTCTTACAGTCCAGAGAGACTGATGGGGCCAGAGTTAGGAGTCACACAAAGGTCAAGTGACTTGCCCGAGGTCTCACAAGGAAACTGTGGCAGATCCAGAAACTGAATCCAGGTCATTGCCTTAGCTACAGGGCCAACCTCCCTACTTCCTGAGTGCAACACGCGGGCAGAGACCATGCTGAGTAAGGCAGGGCCTTGCTTATGTAACTAACTATCAGCCATGTCTGCAACCAGCCAGCCATGGGCTCATCCAGCCTCTGCTCACAGAGCTGTCACCTGTGTGGAACTAAGGACAGATCTTGGGAAGGGGATCCTGGCTCTGACTGAAGCCTGGGAGCTGACTCGCAAAGCAGCAATACCTGCCGTGGGGGATCCAGGGCTCCTGGCATGTGTACAGACACTGGGAAGTAGTGGCAAGGTTGAGGAGAGACAGTCCTTCCCCCGGGACGCGTCCTGTCTTTCATCTGTGTGGTGTCTTCTCTCTGAGGTGCCGCTGTCTCTCCTAAATTAAGGGGGGAGGCTTTGCCAGGCTAATCCGGCCAAACATCCTCTGCTGGAACCTGGAGAAGCAACAAGAAAAGTCTTTAATCACTTAATCCCCATAGGGCAGGCCAAGCATCCCTGCTTTGATATCCTCCCTGTCTCAGTTTGGCTCACCTTTGGGGCAGGAATGGGAGCCCTCATCTCCCTGCTATCACGTCCGCAGAGAGCCTCGGGAGCTGTCTGTCACCACCATCCCTGCAAAGAGCTCCAGGTCAGAGCTCTACGTTTCTTACGTAGGTCCTTGCGGAATATTTGCTCCCACATGGCCTGGCAGTTGTTGCCAGGTAGTAAGTCTATGGATGACGTAGTGTCTCTTGCCCTTGCCACCTCCCATATTTTGCGGTGGTTTACCAGGGTTGCTACAGTAGTGTCATGCAGTTTGTATTTCTCTTGAAGAGAATCCATGGTGAATCCATGGTCTATGGGCTCCCGTTGGACGTAGTGTGCACTTGCCACCATTGCAGCAACTGCCCTGCAAATAGACCTGACCTGGCAGGCAGCCCACTGGGCACCCCCCATGTGGGCATGGAAAAACAGCGCAGGGCAGAGAGGTCCAAACTGCCTGAGACAGACCTGCTACTGGCAGGCAGAAACAACGAACCACCTCTTCTAGGACTGCCCATATGCCAGAGAGGTGTGGAAGAAAGTCCGTGCACTCCTCCTGGTGGTGACAGGTTTCAGAAACCTGACCAGGTAAGCGGTTTCTCTATGGGCACCTGACCAGACAGCAAGGAGCCCCAACAGCTCGCTTAGACCAGGCCCTAGCCTGCTTCAGGTCTGCCCTGTGGGAAGCTAGGAACCTGCTCATAACCAGACACTCATACGCTGCGGTTGAGGATGATATTAAAATGGGACTAAGAGAAATGTACTGGTCCTACAGGAAGATAGAAGAGGACAATGGGAAAGCAATGGCAGACCTCATCTGGTGGAGAGGGGTCTGGCATAGACTTATTCAGGAGAAGCCCCTCTGAGGAAGGCAGTGGGTGGGGGGTACAGGTATGGAGACGGGTGCGCGGGTGTGTGGTTTAGAGATGCGAACTGTGTAATCGGTTTTTAGTGTGCTTTGAACTGCCAAGCTGCCAAGTGCTTTGAGCTGCCCCAGGGGCCACTTGGCAGAGTGTTGGAAGTGCAGTTATATTTGTGAAAAAAAAGCTCCAGGTCATGGCAATACAGAGCCCTCAGGCCCCCTCCACTATGCTCTGAAGGACTCTCTGCCACCCCAGCCCCTGGACAGTTTGTCAGTGCCCAGGCTGGCACTTCAACAGGAGATGGAAGACCTGTAGGAAAGTGTGAGCTTCACAGGGACATAGACCCATGTGTCAGAGCCCACCTCTGCTGTGCTGTCTAGTGACCAGGAGCTCCATGTGCAGACACTGGCAAGTATCCAAGTTACATCTGAATGGCCTGGGCACCCATAGGGCACCGACTGAACCCCCAGTGTCCCTGCTCAGTCCAGCCCAGAGGGGTCTCTATGTCATCTCCCCTTCAGAAGACTACACAGGCCACAGCAGCACAGAGTGGTGAGCCCCCACAGCCCTGGATACCTATATGTAGCAGCTCCCTGCCCCCTGCAAAAGCCTCCAGTGCAGTCGATGTTTCAGGTGAGCCACGCTCAGGGGAGGCACAACCTCACTATTCAGTGGTCACACAAAGAGAGCAGCCTTGGGGTCTCCCTGAGCCTGTGGCTGGGGCCAAACCAGCCCTGGATCTGGGCAGTGTAAGCTGCGTCTCCTCCACCCCTGCCACAGGTCTAGCAGGGCCACACAAGGGTGAATGCCACCCTTCCCTCAGATGCAGTCTCCGTCTGCCTCATTCTGTCTGCCTGCCTCTTCCTCCCCAGTGCAGCCAGGTTCCCTCAGGACACAGGCTGCGAACACCCTCCTAATCTGGGTCTCCCTTTTGGCTCACGAATGGGAGATTTGTATCTTGAGTGGAAAGCCCTCAGCACTTCCTCTATTGTCCTCCCATGTCAAGGCAAGCCTGAGCGTGGCAGCCTAATTTACAGCCCCGCCAGCAGGCAGATGCCGCGCCAGCTGGACTCAAGCCCAGCCATGAGGTGGCAAAGCTGCCTCAGTGTGTGCCTAGAGCATCAGGCAGACATGACACCTGGCTGCTCCCCTTCTAAGTCCAAAGTTTCTCCCTCTTCCAGCCCCGCTTTGGCACCAGGAGAGACCAGAGCAGGGAATGCCACTCTGTGCTCAGAGAGAGCTTGCAACCCTTAAGGCTCTTGTGCCAACCCAACCCCAAGGCCTCTGTGCCATCAGGGGCACTTGTGGGCTTTTTCCAGAGCAGGTGACACTGGAACAGCATCAGGGCAGACTCATACTGTGTGTGGAGTCAGTTGCCAGCTTGCCCTGGCATGAGAAAGCTCATTCGCCATGGCCCTTGCAGCTCTGAGCCATCAATTAAGAGGTCATTCACTTCAGCTGTGGCAATTGTGCAAATGACCCTGGCTCTCCTCAGAAAGCCAAGGAATGGCCAAGACCTGTCAGGACCTCTCACATAAATGTGAGGTTGAATCTAAAAGATCTGGCAGCCCTAGGGAGATGGGCCACAGCACATCTACAAACTGTCGCAGGAGTGGGGACCTGCAGGGCACTCTCAGCCTTGGAATTCACTCTGCACAGCCTGATGGAAGCCAAGTTCACTGAACCACGGGCCACGGTAAGAGGTTGGAGCAATCATGGACTGCTGCTGGAATGCTCTGGTCACGCCGGCCAGGTACACACGTGTGGCCCCTGTTATTGTGGTAGCCAACCACCTTGCACACCATCATGTGCTTATTCTCACAACACTCTAGCCCCCTGAACTCCTCTCTCCATCTTATAGGTGGGGAACTGAAGCCCAGAGAACCTAAATCGATATGGTTTCCCTCCAAAATAAAGCCTACCCACTTGCACCCAACAAGACAATTAGACAAAGACTTGCCTGCATTCAGGGCAAGAGAGGAAGGGGTCCTCCAGAGCTACCTACTTTGCCTTATTGCTGGTCCCTGATGTGCCCAGGCGGGAGTGAGTGGGTAGGCAGCATTCAGGGGGGCTCATGTTGCCCTGACCCAGGTGACTTGCTTAAAGACCCACAAGAAGTCCCAGTGGGCCAGCAGACAACTGGCCCCAGGCCCCCCAAGGCTGGGGGTGTGCCCTGCATTTGGGCCCATTCATCCTCTTTTATAGGGTTCAGTGGAGAGGCAGGGGAGTTCTCTAGGGACTGTCAGCTTGCTACTGTGGGATGGGATGCTTCTTCACCTTGTCACTGTTATGTCTGGATGCTCCGATGCCACTACGGAGCTGTCAGACAACAGTGACTTTTGGTCACCATTGAGTGGAGCTGTTCACCCACAACACGCTAGGGGTGATGTACAGCCCTCAGGAGCCCAGCAGAGCCCACTGGCTGTGGGTCTTCCCCTGCAAACTCCCCAAGTGAAATGCTCACAGTATCAGACCCTGGGATCAGAGGTGAAAAGTTTTGTATCTGTTACCAGGCCCATGGAGCAAGTAGTCAATCTGCCCCATAAGCAGCCACCCACTCTAAGAGAGGTACTAGTGGTTCTCATGCACAACAGACTTCCTCTGAGCAAAGGCAGCACCCAGCATGGCAGCCTAATTTACAACCCAGCCAGCAGGCAGAGGCCTTGCCAGCTGGACTTGAGCCCAGCCCTGAGGCAGCAAACCAGAAAAGGCAAAAACCTAGTCTGGTCCGAGATGGATGGTTTAGATCCAAAAGGTTCAGGCACTTCACATCATTCTGGGCTGAAAATTTGCAAAGAACAAGCTCTGTGATGAGATTTTCAGGTCCTCCTGATGCTACCCAGGCCTTGCATAATCAGAACAGTTTTTCAGTTGGATACCACCTTCCCCACTGTTGGCAGTAAATACCTTTCCCACTGTTGGCATCACTTTGGTGCCATGGATGACTGCCAGGCATAGGATATGGGGTGTCCTTGCAGGCACACAGATGAGGGACATTCTGCCTAGGGTGATGCCCAAGGAAGTAGATGCTGACTCCCAAGAAAACTGGCAATGTCATTGCTGCTGCATGCAGTAGCTCTTATTCCCCTGTCATTTTCCTCCTGTTCTCTTATCTGTTGCTTTCCCCTCAGTAAAGCCTCAGCAGAGCCCAGACCAAAGCTGCCTTGGAACACAGACTGAAGGCGACACAGATGGGAAAGAAAGCCAGCCCTGATCTATAGGGAGAGAAGGCAGTGGCTTGGAGAAAGCAAAGATTGACTCCACCTGGCACAACCAGTGCAGAGGGCAGCCCTGCAGCAAGCTTGTCCAGGACAGGGCTGCAAGGATGGGGAGATCCCATGGTGCCATCCTGACTCACAGTGGAAGAGATAGGGAAGTTACTAATCCTTCAACTTCAGAGAGACCTGGGAGGTTTCTACTCCCCCACCCACCCCAGAGGTGAAAGCTCGGCAGGGAGTCTGCAGGGTGTAACGCAAACAGGAAACATAGGCAGGGCCCAGCCCTTTCCAGCTAGGAGAAGAGAAAGCAACATGCTTTGTTTTAGAGAATTTGGATGCACTGGTTGCCTGAGCAGGGCCAACAGCTCTGAGCATCACAAAGCCTTGCTTTGAAACCCCTGCGTCTCCTCTCCCCTCGTACAGACACTGGGAAGGCTGCACAAAGGTGACAACATCTCTTTGCTTTCCTGGCTTCCTCCTCCTCTGGGCCAGACCACCTTGCAGCCTGGTGTACCACCCCTGCCTGGGTCCTGAGATGACTGTCTTACTCCCTGGCCTAGAAGGTCTACGCAGAAATAAACCCAGCTCCTGGGGGAGAGAGAGTTTTTTACAGGTTGGCAGGAGGTAGAAATGCTGCATAGGTAGCGTGAAGGGAAACCCAGCTAGCTAAGACCCAGAGTGGAGGCATGAAATACACTGCCATGGGGCCTCTGTGGCTCCATTACCCCACTCTGGTCCTGCCTCTTCATTCCCAGCCTGGACTGGAGATTGAAGGGGGCTCATCCCCTCAAAGAGACATGGGGCTTCCTTCCCTCCCTGGGAGCTTCAGCCCAGGGAGTGGTACTCACCCCAGCAGAAGGAGTCTCCTGCTCAGGTCTGTGGGCACTGCTCTTTTCCGGCCATACCCAGTGTCCTCTGTTGTGCAGTGCTGATGAGGCCTCCAAAGCAGCAGGTCTGAGGGTAGCACCCCATCGAGCTGAGTGGGGCAGGTGACTCTTTCTCAGCTACTGTTTCAGACTCTTTCAAGCAAACCTCCCTGTCTCACTTCCACCAGGTTCCTGTCCAAGCTTTTTGTAACAAGGAAGGCCCCAAGTCTACCTAAAAAGAAAAAACAAAACAAAGTTGAGGTTCTGCTGCAACACCCTCACTCCAGGAGCTGGAGCCATAAGCACAGACATGTAGGGGCTCAGACTTCATCTCCTCCTCCGTCCCCAAGCCAGCAAGGGTTAGGAGTGCTACAGGAATAGAGCACAACCCAAGGAAGGGTTGAGCCTCTCACTTGCTCAACAAACAGCCCTCTGGCCCACTAAGGACCAGCACTGGAAAAAGAGTGCAAGTCAATCAGCTGGGTGGAGTAAGGGGCTGGGGTGGGGGCAGAAAACTGGGGAAAAGGAAGGATCCCTAGGAATGACTGAGATGAGGGACAATAGCTTCCCTCCAAATAACAAAGACCTCCGTCCTGCTATGCAGTGAGGCTCCCGTTAAACAAGCACTGTCAAAAGAAGAGTCAGCTCTCATGATGGTGGTGTTTTTCTTAAAGTCCCGGCTCCAGGAGCCACACCAACAAAGAAGAGATTTTAGGAACAAGTTTAGGGAGGTTTCTACCCCTCAGAGTTATAGAGAAAAGCCTGGAAACATGACCCTAGGCAGGCTTAAAAAAACTCTGAGAAGACAGTTCTCCTTTTCCAAAGTTATTATTCGGGGAAAAGAAGCCTTGTGGTTTGTAAGCCAATTTGTATGGTCTTCTAGGGCCTGACTTGTGATGCTGGAACACCTAGTCTTAGCAGTGGGCTTGAGAAACTTGCACCGCATGGCAGAAAGAGCTGGGACTCACCAAGCCCTTCCTGCGTGATGTACCAGACATTGAAGTCCACATCAGAATGCCTGCCTGGATTACTCACGAAGAGGCTGCTGTAGCATTGGGCAAAATGGCAAGGATTCCTTGGGCAGATGCCAACATTATTAATGATTGTTATTAAATATTTAAGTTAGCGCCCATGATGGGCAGGCACTGGCCTGAGGAGCTTACAGCCTAAGGACAAAAGGAGATCAGAGGAAGGGAAACAACAAAGAGAGAGTTTACATACAAATGAACAGGATTAACTACAGGCAACCTGGCAGAAGTGGATTTTTCACAAGGCTATAGAGACGGACATGGATGTTTAGGCCCTGGTGCCTGTATTCCTCTATGCCACATGGGGGCACAGTTGGCTAATTTATTAGCTGTATTGCCCTTTTTTCCCAGGCCCAGGGGCAAGCAGTGTCTACTCAGCGCATAAGAGCATAGGAGGCATGCAGCTGCCCAGGCTTCTGCCTACCATCCTCACCTAGGAGCTACACTAGTGATGGTCACAAAGACACGTCAGGCTGGATGTTTGCCTAGACAGTAGGTTCTCAACCTATTTACAGTGGCAGTGGAACATCTGAGCAGGGGGTTGAACTAGATGACCTCCTGAGGTCCCTTCCAAACCTAATTTTCTATGATTCTCAATGTGGGGATTCAAGCTAAAAGCAAATGATTTTAAAGAAGAAATTTGAATACTCACATAATGGTTTGTTTGGTCCTACTGTCCATGCTTCATATGCTTCCTGTGAGGCTTATCACTCTCTCCCACCATAAACCAGACTTCAGCCAATCTGCTGGTGGTTATCTGGAAAGAAAAAAAATATTGCGGCTCAGGTGCTACAACAAACAGGTTTTTGAAGTTAAGCTTCTACACTCACACATGGTGCCCTAAATTAGCAGCTTCATCTCCCAGAGCACTGCGTGGTCCTGAAGGTTCCTGTTGCCTTTGATGACTAACCTCTCTTTGTAAGTACTAAGCAAACACCGGCATTCAGGAGAAGGGTCTCACATAGGAGTAGAACGAGAGAGAGGTCAGGCTACAAAATTGCAGGTGGGTGTCTGGCTCAGCATACACTTCTCCCCAAGGTTCAGGTAGGTTTTGATGGGGAGGCCCCAAGGAGAGCCCATCATTAAGGAGAACATGTGGGTGATGTGCTGTTCTTACCTACGGGCTGACAACTGAAACAACTCTGTGCAAGACAGGTGAAGCTTGGACATGAGATGGGCCTGAGGAAGGGACAAGTCACAGGCAGCACTGTGTTGTGAGCCAGGTAAGATACCAAGAGCAACATTCACCATACACAAGGTAGGGACTTCTCTCTGGGATTCCCCAGAAGATAGTGGAGAGCTCTCCAGGGATGCCATGATGCCACATGTTCCCCAGTTCCCCCTTGAGAGGTTCTTATTTCCCAGTGCCATATAGACTTTGCTCTGTATTGCCATAATCTGTGCCCCAGGTTCTGTGAAGTGTTTTGAGGGAGTCAGGGTGCCAGTTATAGGGAGGCTACCAAGAGTCTTCTCTTCTTTCTGAAAACCAAGCAAGAAATGCTGCAAAAGATACCCAAGCTGCAGCATCACGCTTGTCAAATATTTCACATGCCACCAGTTCCATCAGCAGGGCTGCAGGAAGAAAGCCATTGGTCCAGCACAATATGTTGAGCTATTATTTCACTTGTCAAGCAGCGGGGAAGAGCAGGTAGTATGTGAACCCCCCATCCTCATTAGCAACACACTTTGAAACCCCTCTGAATTTTGGGGGAGTCTGGCTGTCGGGCTGTATTTAGCCCTTGCTGGTTCTGTAGAACGCCAGTCTTGGAAGCCACATCATGGACATGAAGGACAGACATGGATGTCTGGGATGCTGGTTTTCATACAAGAACATTCACAGGCCAGGCAGAATGGATGGAGTTAGGGGAGCTGATGGGCTTTAGGACAAGAAACACAAGTGGTCCCTGATAACCAGTCCATGGAGCCGAGGGAGTTACAGCAAGATGGTCCTCAGGCTCACGCCTCCTTTAATCTCCCTGAAAGCCCTGGCAAATGGCAGGGGGTTGCAATTCATTTTCCATGAGGATGGGAAGAGGAATGCTTTTTACTGGAGCTTAGATGGAGCCTCTGTTACATCTTTGCATTAAGCTGACAGCTGCTGTGCTAGCAAACCTGCTGTTGTGCAAGACCTGAGCTCAGCTGAGTGACACCCAGCAATGTCAAAGGTGACATAAGGCCAGCGGGTGTGAACAGCCACTTCTCCCTCGTGAAACCAGGGGGTGCTGCAGGTGAAAGGCAATGGTTTACCCCATACTTGCATGAGGGGACAGGCCAAGCAGCCATGCAGGACTGTGTGTTATGGAGTGGGGAGCCTAAGAAGAGAGCCCCCTTCTCCACCCCGAGCTCATGTCACCTGCTACCGGATTCCCTCCGAGAAGACACCACAACTCCCAACACGCCGCGCCCAGCTGATGCTGGAAGGGAGTTCACAAAGCCAAGGGGCCGATCAGAGAACAAAGTGGCCTGCGCAAAGCCGGCTTTCAGGCTGGCTACGGTTGCAGGCTTCAATTGTGCTTTGGTGGTGGTTGTCTTTGATGCGACTCAAATAGCCTTTCTTCCCCCCGAAGTCTCTGGCACTCATGGCCCTGCAGCGCGTATGAGGCAAAGAATGTATCCTGTCACCACGGCTGCTTCCCTTTATTTGAAGTGTCTCACTGAGGTATCATCCAATGACATGTTTCTTTCAGTGAGAATTATTTCCGTCTGCTTCTATCTGTCATTGCCTGCCCCCCCCCGCCCCACCAGCCTCCATGCTCCCCGCATGTCCGAGCAGGTGTGAAGACAGGCTGGCCCTTTGTGTGGAAGCCTTCTCCGTCCCCCCCTCTGGGCTCCCTCCAGTGCTGTCACTTTTTTCTCTCTCTCTCCTCCGTCTTGTTTTTCAACAGAGCGCAGGGCTCGCTTCTCCTGTCACCTGGGCCGAGGCTGTGCAGCCGCACGCCTGCTCTCATCTCGCCTTCCACAAAGGGCATCCCTGTCACTCTGTGGAATTAGAGACATACCTGGATCTAGGGCTTGGCAGATAACACAGAAGCGAGCTGGCCGCAGCCAGGGGGAACCTGCCGATAGCAGAAGCAGAAGCCGGGCTGGTAAGGGAAGAGGCGGGCGGGAGCGAGAGGCCCCTCTCTGCTTTAACTTCTCACCAGTTCCCTGGCCTCAAAAGCTCTTGCTCTTCCTGAACCTGCTGGTGGGATCGTAACACCAGAGGCGCCTGCAGAAGAATGTGGGGATTCTGAAATTGTTCTTCCCTTTCCCCAGGTCTCACTGCAGCTTCAGAGGATGCTACCCTGAACGTGGAAATGCTGGGGTGTTGTCAGTACCAGGAGCCAGGAGAATGGGCAGGGAGGGCTCCAGGGTCTGGCAGAGACCACCAGGGCCCTTCGTTCCTACAGCAGCCATCCAGACCCTGCTGGGTAGTGGTCCTCATCCCTTCTTCCCAACGGCGGCTCTATGGCCTCCTCTGCAGTGAGCTGGCAAGTCGCACTGCAGTGGCTGCCATGGCAGCTGGCACGCTCTCCTCACTGACAGCCTCACAAGGGAAGCCAAAAACCAAATGGGCCAAAGTTCAAGCCCTCCCCTGCCTCCAAAGCAGGCCTGAGTGGGGCCTGTGCAAGTCAAGATCAAGAGAATATGGGACACTGTCATGGCTGCCACATTGCCCTCCATCATTGCACCTTCTCCCTTCCCCAGGGTGCAGCAGATGAAAGCTAGTGCTAACGGACCCTGCTCGCCTGTGGTGAGATACTAGAGGTGGAGATAGAGGACCTGGCCCTGTACTCTGTGACTCTAAGTGCAGACATCAGTGGAAGTGTAGTAGAGTAAAGCTCAGCATGTAACCAAATGGAAAATGGGCCTATGTGCCCTAAGCCAACCCTATATCCATGCTGCAGAGATCACCCTACTGCTTCATCCTGATCTTGAGGTTGGGATGCGCTGGAGCCTCTTCCCACACAGACCCTAGCTGTTCCTTTAAGCAACTTGTATCTGTCATTCTGGCCCTTTCAGTAGTTGGCAGGGAAAGACCACAGCCCTGAAGATGCCAGCTGAATGCCTGGTGACATTTTGAAACAGGTCTTCTCATTATTGGTGTGCTTGCTGCCACAGTGAGATTATTTGAAGGTGTTGATCTTGCCCGATGAGTTTTCCCAGTCATCACTCCTCAGCCAGTGCTTTGTCTTGGACTGATCTGGGCTTCGCGGTGCCCCCCAGGACAGAGGTGGGCAGAAGATCCCTTTGACTGGAATGTCTCCTAGATAGCACAGGGAAAAGCACCTGATCAATGCCACAGGGACTGGATGGACAGTCCCAGTGAGGCCTGGTCCAGGAGCTGAAGTGCTTCTGGAAAGGGAGCACAATCAGCTACTTTGGACTGTGCACCACCACCACATGTGGCACAAATCCCTTGTGCATGTAGGCTACCGTGGCTCAGACTCAAACCTGGGTCCCCAAGAGGAGAGCAGAGCTGCTAATTTTGCTTCAAGACAGACACAGATGAGTGCTGGAGCTGAGCTGGGACCCTTCTCAATTGAAAAGGTTCAATTAAACTCTTTTGGCTTGGAGTCCAAAAGTGTTCAGCTATTCCTGGCAATGAAAGACATGAGCAGAGAAAATAAGAGGAAGCTGCACTGGAAAACATTCTGCAGAGCACATTCCTGCATTGGCTGCTAAGGGGACAACATACATGGGACCCCGATGGGACATCATGTCTACAGCTCCAACAAAGGTTATTGCAGGACCCCTGGCACAGCTTTACGAGCACTTGTGGTGCTCTGGTGAGGTGCCTGATGACTGGAAAAGGGCCAATGTGGTCCCCATTTTCAAAAAAGGGAGGAAGGAGGACCCAAGAAACTATAGGCCCGTTAGTCTTACCTCGGTCCTGGGGAAGCTCTTTGAGAAAATTATCCAGGAGCACATCTGCGAGGGGCCAGCAGGGGAGTGTATGGTTAGGGGCAACCAACATGGGTTCATTAGAGGCAGATCCTGTCAGATCAACCTGGTGGCCTTCTATGACCAGGTCACAAAACCCTTGGATGCAGGTGTTGCGGTGAATGTAGTCTTCCTGGACTTTAGGAAGGCCTTCAACACTGTCTCTCACACCATCCTCATTAAAAAATTAGGCATCTGTGGTGTCGATGCCTACACAGTCAGATGGGTCTCCAATTGGCTGGAGGGCCGCACCCAGAGAGTGGTGGTGGATGGGTCATTTTTGACTTGGAGGGATGTGGGCAGTGGGGTTCCCCAGGGGTCAGTCCTTGGGCCCGCACTGTTCAACATCTTCATCGGCAATTTGGACAAGGGGGTGAAAAGCACCTTGGTTCAAGTTTGCAGATGACACTAGGATGTGGGGAGAAGTGGGCACACTAGAAGAGAGGGACAAGCTACAATTAGATCTCGACAGGTTGTGGAGGTGGGTGGATGAGAATAGGGTGGGTTTCAATATGGACAAGTGCAAGGTGTTGCTCCTGGGGACAAAGAACCAGCAGCATACCTACAGGCTGGGGAACTCTCTTCTCGTCAGCACAGAGGCAGAGAGGGATCTTGGAATCACTACTGATTCCAAGATGAACATGGGCCGGCAGTGTGGGGACACGGTCAGGAAGGCTAACTGCACTTCATCATGCATCCATAGATGCATCACGAGCAGGTCCAAGGAGGTGATCCTCCCCCTCTATGTGGCACTGGTCAGGCTGCAGCTGGAGTACTGTGTCCAGTTTTGAGCGCCACACTTCAGGAGGGATGTGGACAACATGGAGAGGCTCCAGAGGAGGGCCACTCGCATGATCAGGGGGCAGCAGGGCAGGCCCTACGAGGACAGGCTACGGGACCTGAACCTGTTCAGCCTCCACAAGAGAAGGCTGAGAGGGGATCTGGTGGCCGTCTACAAACTGGCCAAGGGGGACCAGCAGGCAATGGGAGAGTCCCTGTTCCCCCAAGCACTACTGGGGGTAACAAGGAACAATGGCCATAAATTGACTGAGAGTAGATTTAGGCTAGATATCAGGAGGTGCTACTTCACTGTCAGGGTGGCTAGGAGCTGGAACCAACTTCCAAGGGAAGTGGTGCTGGCTCCTATCTTGGGGGTTTTCAAAAGGAGGCTAGACAGCCACCTAGCTCGGGTCATTTGACCCCAGCATCCTTTCCTGCCCATGGCAGGGGGTCGGACTAGATGATCTGCTTAGGTCCCTTCCAACCCTACCAACTATGAAAGCCAGAAGAAAGTCTCTCTGAATCTCTCTGAATCTCTAACACATTTCCTGGCTCATCCCTCCACCAGACAGAGGCTGCCCAGTAGACTGCTTTGTAACTTTAAGAACCAACTTTAGGAATTTTAGAAAAAAATTAATTTACAATAGTGGACAAGGTCTTTCCTAGGATTTTTTTCAGAATAAATGCATATGGGAGATCTCAAAAAAAAAAAAAAAAAAAAAAAAAAAA